CGGACGCCTATACCTGCAAAACAAACGGATGCTCCGGACGATTGGAGATCCGCCTCCGACGGTCAAGTTAGTACTTGATTAAGGAGTAATTAATGCGGAAATAAAAGTAACTGGGTCTCTCTAGGTGAGAGTGTTAAATGTGCGTAATCCCCCTTAATGAGGATTAATGGGCATATTTATATGCCTTGGGATGCGTGCCAGTACTAGGTTTAGGTTAAACCTAAGGCTGACTGGGCCTCCCACAATGATTTGGCCTTATTGGCCGGTTTTCCCATTTGGCATGGGTGGACACGTGTCACATTGCAATTGGTCCAAGGAGGACGAATCTCTTGATGACACGTGGCAGACTCCTATTGGCCTACATGAAGGACACGTGGCGAAACCTGGCTGGCCCACGTGTCGGATGCTGATTGGTGGATAAAAATCCCCTAATCAGTATTGTTGTTAATTAGCGTAAATGATATCATAATAACTACGGAGTACATTATTATGTTTAATTATCATTGTTGGGTACACGATAACCGATTCGAATATTCAGATACTCGAAATCCGGGTACCCGAACTTATCGATTCGGTTAATAGATATCACTTTTACTAGTGATATTGGTTATCGGTTACCCGAACCGTTAATACTAACAGTACGGGTACCCGTCTCATGCTCACCCCTTAGTGTATATACATGATTGCTATATGATACTTTTGACTACTTTATAAGTTTTATATGTTATATGTAATTTATTTTGGACCTACAAAACGGGTTTGGTTATATCGATATTTTTTCCCCTCAATACAGTGCATATGCAGGGGGCATATGCCGACATCCTCAACTCCATCTAGAATTTTCATTCTTATCCCACAATGGATCCAAATCTAAAATCATTCATGTTGCACCCTGCACCTGGATATCCACACCCATCCACCTCCCCCGTCCTAGACCCACCTTATAATAAAGATGGTTCTAGGTCGTGTCTTGTGCTAGGCTCACATGGCTTTCGGGTTGGTTAGGCCTGGTGCATGGCTCGACCTACGAGTTTCGTGTCGTGCCCTGCTGGCCAAAGTTTACAAAAGGTTGGCCCGTTCACGGCCCACACCCACACCCACGTGCCATTGTGCCAAGCCGTGCCGGAGTTGCGTGCCTAATAAAATTGCATTGATTTTAGCATGCTTTGTAGTGTGATTGGTTGTCGTACATCTATCAAAAATAAATTCCTAACAAAAACAACTAACAATGTAGTAGGGTTGAATCCACGGAGAGATAGCTATTCAATTTAACCTCTACGAAATTGGAGAAACTAAACTGTGTCACGAGTTAGGTTGAATAGTAGTCTAAACTAATATAGGAATAAAACAATTAATAAAAAGACCTAGGGTTATGGTTCACCATGTTTATAGTTTTAAATCTATCAAATATCAATAACAATTCAATCAATCAATTATCTAGAGCAATTACTAAGCCTACGACCGGGTCTTTACGCTCTCAATTCAGCATATGTAGTTCGGCCGCTAACATGATCATAATTGCTAATTGTAGGTAAGCCTCTAAAAGTAAGATCTTAAGACTTCAAACTCTTATTAACAATAATTAATCAAACAATTGATCAGATTGCAAGATTAACAATAAAACACTATCAATTAGAGAAATTAATAATCAAAATATCAATAATATAGATGAAAATTCATAATATAAATATGGATTCCCAAACCCTAGAAATAAACTACTTTAGCATGAAATAAATAATTAAAACTAAATCTAAAAAATAAAACATAATTAAAAGCAATAAATAGAAATAAAATTACCTCAATGAATTAAAATAATAAACCCAAGAATCGTCCATGGAAGAATCCATGGAGATGCAATGAGAAACTAGGGTTAGATAGAAAACTAAAAAGAACGTAAAATAAAAAAGATATAAAAAGACATAAGGGCAAAATAATATCCCTTGATGAGTATTTATATTATCCTAAAATTAATCTATAAAATAATTAAAGAAAATAAATAAGAAAATAATATACTTCGTACATAAGTTGTAATTCTATTGGACGATAGAAGGTGACGTGGCATGAATAAGATCGACGAAATCGAGGGACGAGTGAAGGATGTGGAACGACGAAGCCTGTGTCTGCTTTGGCTGCTCTCCAAAACTTGCGTGCACAGGTCAGCCGCTGACCAGCAGTAGCTACGGCTTGCTCGAGTAGGCGCGGGATATGATCGCAGGCTACATGCTTGGATTAAAATGGCCATAAATTATGTTCTAGGAAGCTTCTTGGGGTGTTTGACCTATCATTGGAAATCTCTTCAAGTCTAGTTTCCAACGCAATTTGAGTCGCATCAATCCAATCTATAAAACTCAAGTTATGATAAAAAAAGTGAGCAAAGGTTGTTTTGACACTTCGTAAAATATCGTTCAACTTCGTTTCGAACTCAAATTCATTTCCGAAAAGTGCATAACGATTGTTGTGGATGCTATATTCATTACTTTTTCATATAAATCTCAAATTAAGCTTCCACAAACATATATCCTTCATTGAGTATCCTCGATTCATCGACTTTTCATCCTTTCATTGTCCGATTCTCCCAAAACCACTCTAAAAGCGTCCAAATAGTTATAGAAACTACCTGAAACATTAAGAAAGCACAAATGAAGCGTAATAAAGCACAAAATGGACAAATTATGCAATTCTGACCTAAAAAGCGATAAAAGACTTAAAAAGCTACTATTTAAACTGTACTATCATAAATGTGCCAATAAAACCTATATATATGTGATTCATTGTGTCGGGCTCGGTCGTACGGTGCCTTATCGTGCTTCTCCCAAATAAAGACGGCTGATGTGTCTATTTTATATAGTATTTTACCCCCATCCCTTGGTCATAATTAGTATTCTTTTTGGCTCTTTAGAGCCACTTTTATTACTAATTGGTGTTTTCTAGTGTTTTCGTAGATTTGGTTGACTTTTGCAGGGATTTACACTTTTGGAGTATTTTCCCGAGATATTTTGGAGCAATCACGAGCATTGGAGAAACACGACCAGATTTTATAGCCCAGGGCCGGTTAAAGCCATCGAACCGGTGATTAAGGGCTCGGTATATGTGATACCAGGCAATTTGGACCGAGTATTAAAGACCGGAAGAGGAAACCTAGATTGGCCCGAAGAATTGGAGCCCAATCGTAGTCCAAATAGTGGCCCAAGAGAGCCGCCCGGACAAAAAGGCTGGCGCCTGAAGGCGCGCTCGGCCGGGCGAGAGAAGCTAAGGTCGGCGCCCGGTGACGCGCCCGGCCGGGCTCGAGATTGGTTCTGACGAGCAAAAAGGCGCGCTCGATCGGGCGGTGCCTCGCCCGATCGGGCGCGTGTAATTATTAGGAGACGATTAGCGTCGTTTTAGTTTGTTTTAGTTATGGATTTGTACAGAGTATAAATACTCCTCCGTAATACGTTTTTAGGATGATCTCTCTTTCTCTCTCTCTCTTTTACTTTTTCTTTACTCTCTTAATTGTTCTCTTAGATTTTCTTTCTCTTAAACCTTTGTTCTTAATCCATTCTTAATTCCAGATTCATTTGGTAACTATTCCTCTTCTCTTAATCTTAGTAGTTTATTTTATTCCTTTTATTATGTCTTGTTTTATTGCTTTGATTTGTTTAGTTTCTTTTATGTGTGAGTAGTTTTCTTTTGAGGGTTTATGGGGACCCATGAATAATATGAAGGGGTAATTTATTGTTGTTGATTATCAATGCTAGATTAATTTCCTATTGATTGATTTAATGCTCTGTGACTAGATTAGGCCTGATCTTTTATGCATGAGTTTGACAATATTGATTCGAGATTCGACAGATGAGAATTGATGTTTAGGTCTAGTTTCAATAGGCAGGTTAATTTATAAATGGTTAGGTCGAGATTCGAAAGATGAGATTTAATACCGGTAAATTAATTGTGTGATTATAATACGTAGCGAAAGCCCTTTATAATCTGATTAATATATGCATTGATGAATGATTAATATATTCTACCCTGCAATATTATTTATTGGTGAACCTATGCCCTAGATCCTTTTATATATTATTTTCTCCTTATTCTTGATTTCCGTAGTTTAGTTTATTATTCATTATAAATATTGGTTACTTAGATAATTTAGATTATAATAATTAATTAGGAGTAGAAAGACTTGTTTCCCTGTGGAGTTCGACCCTACTTCCCTATCTACTTTAGTTAGAGGACTTAGGTAGTTATTTTTGATTAGGGGATACGACTTTACCCTGTCAGCGATCCAGACCCGACCCACACGCACAGTACCGTGCCGTTATTTTTTCGTGTTGGGCTTTGAGCCGGCCCGACCCAGTGCCATCTTTACCTAATTATAAGAAGGGGGAAAATTAGCCCAATAAAATGGCAATAATGAATTACTAAATACATACTAAAATAAATTACAAAAAGTAATCATTTAATACACAATCTATTTTTGTTTGACAGAATGATAGCATATACGCATTGCGTTTTTTTTTTCTATAACATCGAGTGATACTTCCTCTATTTTTTTTTTACCTAACCAGATTATTTTATCATGCTTGTCAATGCAAAATTTAACGATCAATAACTTTAATTCTTTATAAGTAAAATTATAAAAGATATATATAATCATGATATAACTTATCGACACGTATGTTTTTCTTTATATATTATTCACAAAAGATAGTTAAAGAATGGACAGTGAATAGTGTAAAAGTCAAAGCGGGTCGAGTAAAAAAAAAAACAAAGGAAGTATCATATTAGCAACAAGTGTTTGACTCTGATATCTAGTCTTTAGACCTTGAAGAATTTGCATACTTGATGTAATTTTTAAAAATATATGGATAATGGGTGTAGGTACGTGACGAGTATGAGGCGGGGCGAGGTGGTTATGGTTTTCATCCCCGTCCCATCCTTCCCATATGGTAATAAAATCTTGGACTCCCCATATGAGATTATTCTTAACAAGTTGAAAAGTGAGATAAAATTACGGGAACAATCGACCGAAGTAGGTAGCTAAACATGTTGTTTTGTGCCATTTTCTAGATAGTAAAATTTTATAATAAGATTTATAATAGTAGGCTACACCGCTACATTATTTATCGCAAAAAAAAAAAAAAAAGTCTATAAGCTTCAGAGTTCAGACATTAGCAAAGACAAAGAACTTTAGACTCAAAATAAGATGACGAAATCTCTCTCCAAAACAAATTGAAAAATCAAAGAAAAAACACCCTACAAAAAAAAAAACCACAGGAAACAGGGGTAAATTTGGCAAAAACAAATTCTCAACTCACGCACACTTGCAATTGTATTGTTGCCCTCTTCTTCTTCAAACCCAAATTATTTGTTCGTCCCCTTTTCTTCTTCTTCTTTCTCTCTCTTCCCCTGCATCCAAATTTACTGCACTTCACCCTAACCTGCTATTTTTATTTTCAATTTTTTCCATCCAAATCGAATTAAAAGGATGATTTTTCCTTTTAATTCACGTAATTATACCTAATTTATCCATTTTTGTCCTCTTCAATTTAGTTTAATTTCTGGGCTTTGGTTGTATTTTTCCTGGTGAGTTGTTTTCTTTATCCCCTGCTTCTACATTTTTGTTTCGTCTTCATATCTTTATTTTAATTGAAATTTGATTTCTTTCTCGTTTTTTTACCTCATTGTTTGAATTTTAATGGGGTTTATTTATTCAGTTTAATTTTCTAACTCTTGTAAGTTATTTTTCCATTCGAGTTTTAGGGTTTTCTTGCTAAAGTTTGCATCTTTTGTCTGTTTTCATTCTTGATTACTCTGTGTGAATTGTTTTGTCTGGTGCCTCATTAATCAAGAACGAATGGATTTTTTTTTTTAATTTTTTTCCTATAACTTTTAAATTCAAGTTGGATAATTAATGAGTGGATGTAAAAAAATAAAAAAATGTTATTAAATCATTGAGATTATCTCGTGACAATTTTTTTTGTAATTTATTTTGTGGGTGTTTGATAAGAGATTCAGAAACCTACATATATGAGAACTGCTGAAAGGGTTGGCAGTTTTAACTTTTGGGTTGCCTTAAACAATTTAGGAATTTTCTTCTTTTACATTGGTTCTGTACTAGCTAAAATTTTAAAGTGTTAGTCAAATAATAATTAATGATTCCATCCTGTTCCTGATCAACAGTTTAATTTCTTACTGTTAGCTAAGTCTTGGTTTGGATTCAATCATTCAATTTGATATTTGCATTGTAATGATTTTCAAATTTCGCGAGTGTAGTGGTTATCCACCATTGGCGCTTAGGAGTCGTGTTCAGAATCAAGTAAAATGTTTATTATGAATGAATCAGGTTTCACTGTTAATACTTGGCTATTGAATTAATGAATTATGTTCATACATTGGAAATTCAGCCTCTTGGTATGAAGTAGTCATATTGAACTTTACATATGTTAAGTTGTTTAAGTGGCCTTTACCGTTTAGAACTCTTTGTTCCTTGAGAAGTAATGTTGTGGGCCTACTTTGCCTATACCTTTTTTTTTTGCTTGTGAAATCTGGAATAGATTATTCACTCATTTAAGTCAAGTATCGGTTACTAGTTACTACAAGTACTATGCTTGAGATTGGTAACTTCTGTTCACATTGATGGAATGTGATTATAACTCAACAGTTGGTGGAATGTGATTCCACTATGTGTGATTCCGTTGTGTATAAAATGTCAAAAGGGAGATTAAATGGAAAGTAGCAATTACGTTGTATCAAAAGTTGTGGACTTTGGCTGTAACATGGCTTTGAAAGTATGGTATGCTACTATATAAAGCTGCCTGTATAAGATACTCTGAAGATGAGTAAACTTGTACTGTTCAATATGGCTAGTTATTTTTTTAATTGTGCTGAATATTATGTTGAAAATATGGATTGAATTTCTAATAGGATTGAAACAAAATCAATTAATGTGAGATTACATGAAGGGGACGTGGGACCATGTTATTAAAAGACAGATTTATAAGAAATTAAAAAGCTTGAATACTTTAATAATGCTGTAAGAAAGTTTTTCTGGATGTTGGCAGTGCGTCTTATGAACGTTTTACATGTACTTGTTGTGAGTTTGTGATTAACTCTAACTCATTGTTTATTTTAATTTTTTTTTTTATTTAATTTTTTTGTTTTATGTTGAAGGTTTTCTCGATTAAAGGTCCACCAGGAAGGGCAGGAACTGACCGGCCTTTTGTGTAGTCGTGGTGGACTTGCTCAATAAAGAGAGAGAAAATGGGCAGCACATTCAACCCTCAGATTTTAGTAGAGAAATTGACAAAGCTTAATAATTCTCAACAGAGCATAGAGAGTATCCTATTTGCCTTTAATTATTAATTTATATGCTGTTCTCCATCTCTTCCTTGTGTCTGTGTGTGTGTTTAGCTGTTTATCTTAAAGCTGTCTAATAATTCTTTTTTTTGTTTGTTTACTCAATCTTCTATCCTAAATTCCAGTTTACTACATGCTCAATTTAATCCATATTCAGTATATGTTGGGTTTTGTTATTTAAAGATCTGTTTATGGAAAGTATGTAGAATAATGTTATATCATCATAGGGATAATGTTATGGATTCCTATCGTTTCATTTTCTTAAATAATCATTGTGGACTCATATCTAGTCATTCATATATTTGGATTTGTTTACTTTATTCAACTTTTGCTGTGAAGTGTTGTCTACTTGTATATTCTACAACCAGTGTCATTTCAGTGTACTGTACATTCCAGTATTCTACACTGTCAACTGTCAAGTTTTGTTTTTCTGTTTTATTTCTGTTACTCAGTGTAAAGATTGTGAGAGATGTAAGTGAATCCGATCGTACTCCTTTAATTGTATCTGTTGCTCAAGGCCACATTTCCCCCCCTTTTTCTTTTAATTTGTTTAACAAATCAATCATCAATTAATTGTATGGCATATTGCCATATTATGTTGGCCACTGTTTTCAGTTTCTTCCACTTGTCAGTTGTTACCCTTGACATCATATAGCTCTATCTCATTGGTGTATTTTTCACATGAATAAAGCAAAATTAGTGGTTGAAACCTGGGACCGACAATTTCATAGCTCTCCACTGGAGCAAAGGTTGGCCTTTTTGTATCTTGCGAATGATATCTTGCAGAATAGTCGGAGAAAGGGTGCTGAGTTCGTAGCTGAATTTTGGAGAGTCCTTCCTGAAGCACTTCGTGATGTTATACGCAATGGGGATGAGTTTGCAAAAAATGCAGCTCGTAGACTGGTGAGTCTTTTTTGTATTACGTGGCAGCTACTATCTAACATTTGGTCTCCTCAGTAATTTCTGTTATCAATTTACTACTTGGCCCCATCTATCACTGTTCTTTAGATGCATATTTACATCGCATATGTTTTTGAAGCATGGAAATGCTCAATGGCATTTTTGTTGCATATTGAAATTCTAGATAGGTGCTTTGAGGGCCAGAAACTGAAAGAATTAGAGAAGTGATAGGAAGAAGCATCAAGTTTGTATCTGATATTTTTTAAAAATTACTATTTGCTGAACCCTACCAAATAGAATTTATCTATCGTGGATAGAGAGTTGGATTGATATCTGGTGTTGTGAGAATGATGTATCAAATAAAAGTCGAGCACCTATAGCATGTCATATTATGTATGCTGAATTCCTTCAAGTTAGAACTACATTGTGTGCATGCAAATGCACGGGTTACGCATATTTTTTGAAATAGAAATATTATTTCCTTTTATTCTATGCCATGACATTTAAACATGTGTTTATTCAAGTAATTTAATGAACCCTTTTGATCTGGCTTATATTATCTTTACAGATTAGTATATGGGACGAAAGGAAAGTGTTCGGCTCAAGAGGGCACATCTTGAAGGAAGAGTTTATGGGCAGGCAACCAGAAAACAATGTTAATAAAAGTGGGAAGCAACTCAGCTTCAAATTTGTAAGGAATCTTACTAGCTGATTAGTTGATCTGTTTTGTTTCTGCTGCATGATAACTTGATTACTAACACAAGTTTCACCACTTGATTGTGGACAGAGACAGTCTATTGGAAACATGTTAGATAAAATAGTTTCAGATTTTGAAACGATTTATGGGGGTCAATTGGATGAAGATGCCTTACTGAGTAGATGTACAAATACCATTAGCTGTTTGGAGAAACTTATAAAGGATATTGGCAGCGGGATTAAATCAGGTAAATTTCTTAGTTCTTTTTGGAATGTCCTCATCAAATTTCAACTTCATTATGACTCATCCTCCGAATGTAATGTGTTGGTAGATTCAATTTTGTGTAGTTTTTAGGTTCAATCTTCTTTTGTATAGTGTGATGTCATATGAGTTTTCTTGAATTGATTATACTATTTTAAAAAAGAGTAGATGGCTAGTATTGAAGTATTGGAGCATTATATTTCATTTACGTAAACAATTTAGTCAATGATGCTGTTATGGATGTTGATTGAACTTTACCCCACACGTGAGTGTGCAGCTAGCCTGTTCCCTTGACCACCTGAAACCTGTAGTGAATAACAATTGTTTGGCTATTATTTCTTGGACCTTACTTTTGTTTATCAAATGTGTTATGTTGTTTTGTTATCCTTTATGTAATATTCTAGGACTAGGGTTGATATGATTCTAGATTCAAAAGTATGAATCTTGACCCAAAAATTAAAATTAAGTAGAAGACGATATGTTTAATCACTCCTGAAAGAATGAATTGGTTTTTGAATCCCTTCGAACACTCTTGAATAAGGTCAGTTAATAATACTAATCATAAAAGGTTTGTGTGTCACTCTTCAAACACTTAAAAATCCCAAAAATTAATTTACTACTTTTCTTTTATATTGGGTTATTAAACTAACATTAACATTCTATTTTTTAAAAAATAACGTTAATAAATATAAAACCCTAACATAACGCTTAATATGCATGTAAGCCTATAAAATTACAATAATGAGCCCACAATATAAGTATATAACAACACTTATTGACGTGTAAAATATATCAGAAGTACTTTATACCCTATTAATTATTTTTTGTCCACACCAAGGGTAGTGCTCTAGTTACTTTAAATTTACTTATCTTATATGGCGGTATGGGTAGCCTTGTGCTTATCTTATATGAACTGATTAACCCTTATTTGTTATCTTATTTTATTTGAGCTAACTATATGGTTAGTCCTTGCCAAAACTTCGCAACCCTTATCTTATTTTATCTAAACATATGAACTCTTATCTTTTCTCATCTTCTTTGAACTTATTAGCCCTTATATTATCTTAGGGGGCATTTGGCCCACATAGCGGTGTGGGTTTGGAAACAAGAATGAAGCTAAAGGTAGTATGGGGTTGAAACTTGATTCTTGAGGCTTGTTTGGCATTGTTTTTTGTTTTCAATTTTCACTTTTTTTTTTTAATTTTTAATTTTTTATTTTAAAACAAAGAACCAAAAATAGGAAACAAGAAAAAGGTGTTCCTACTTTTCTGTTGTCAGTTTTAAAATTATTATGATTTTAATAAGTTTGACTAATTTTTATTCATTATATGACATGTATAATATGATTTTAAAAAACAAATAACACAAAACCACAGTGATGTCAAACGAACCCTTAATATTTTGTGTTTAGTTTTTGTTTGGGAATGGATATCTTCTTTTTTATTTGATGCCTTCCCCCTTGGATTTCTAAACCCATACCTTGCGGGTTTGAGGTATGAGTTTAGAAATTAGATTTATCTTAAACAAACATCAAGGGTTTTACTCATTCCAACCTTATACCTAAAACCTATGAACCAAACACCCCTTTTTTGAACTTATTAGCCCTTGTATAACCTATGTTAAGAACCTAGAATTGTGTGTGGAGTTTGTTGGAATAAGCGGTGGTCTTATGTAGGAAGATGTGAAGTGATTTGTTTCCTTCCCTGGTTATTTGATGATGGAGTGCTTAATAGTCCAGGAGATTGGTGTTAATGTTGGAATTGTGGTGGAATACATGTGTAAACCATAAATGTTTGGTTTTACAATGCTTTCCTGCAAGTACAAGGCATGCCTAGTGAAACCTTAGCTCCTTGCTTTAGCAGTGTTTTCTTTCAATTATACAAGAAATTTTGTGCAATAGCATTAAAAGATTTTAAATGTCCTTCTCTTGTTACCTTGTTGGGGTTTAATGGTCTATAATATTTTCATATCTTTGACAACGAGATTTTTTTTGAAACTCGCCTTACTTTCATCTGAAGTCATAATAGTTTTTCTCTGTTGCAAAGTATTGGTAATATTCAATTCGATTATTTTGAAGGACTTCCTTAGGGGAGCTGGATTTGTGTATAGGACACTTATGTGACAATTACAGAGTACTAAACAATAATAGTAGCTCCAAGCCTCCAAATGAATTAAATTTTCCAATTTTATTCATTTTAACATGGTACAATTAGTTAATGTTGGTTAATCATTTTGAAAATCATGTTACATACCAGTACAACCATTCATATATTCTTATCAAATTACTTGTAATCTGAGCACTGTCTTATGAGATTAAGGCTTTGATTGATTGATTGAGAGCACTATGTCATTGCAATCAATATCAACAACTAGAGGTGGAATTTCACAATAACCAAGTAACAAACCACCTCCACTATCCAACACATAGTTTAAATACAAATACCATTCCACCCGCAATCATATCTAGTAGTGGCGATGATTTTGCCAACATATATCTCTTCATAGATGCAATTATGGGCATGTTAGTAGTGAACATTGGGATATTTTGGGGGTTTTAGGTTTTTTTTTTTTTTTTTTTTTTTTAATTTTTATTTCAAAATTTTCAAAACAAGGAAATTTTTGTAGGACCTACTACCATCGAGTCAGCTGATCACAATTTTTGGCCTCACGATTGTTGAAATTAGTAGAGAATAGGGATGGTAGGAATTTGGTTGTTGTGAGCCATGTGAGGTCTGCAGGTTAATCAAAGCCAGGAAACTTCACAAAGTTAGGTTAGCAAGGGTTATGGAGATTTAGCTATTAGGGTAGATCGATGGGGATTTTGAGGATTAGGGAGAATGGAGAAGCAAAAGATGATAGAGAAGAGAGATAATAAGAAGTTATTTGGGTAATATTAATATTTCAAAAGATGTGAAAAAACCTAGCTGCTGATTCTTCAGTCAGGATCGAGAAGCAAAAGATGATAGAGAAGAGAAGTAATTTTTTGAAGTGTGCATAGGATTTGTTTTTACAGTAAGTACTTACTAGGAGAGACACGCACATTGCATGTGCAATATAAGAAATCTAATAGTAGGATATATCTAAGGGGTTAGGTCTTTTATGAATTTGTATTTTATGCATTTCAGACGTGTCTTGTCTTTCAACCTAGTCTTGCGACGGTACTTCTTTGTTAAACCTTCTCGGCTAGTCCTATATGGCATATGGATGGGACCAACATTTGGTTTTGTAAATGCTGAGTACCTGAGTGTCATCATGTATCATTACTTGTGTCAGTCGAGCACTCGGGTGTCATTATGTATTGTAACTTGTGTCAGTTGAGCACTCGAGTGTCATCATGTATCGTTAATCGACTGGAAAAATAAGAGAATTGGAAACAAATTTTTTGCCATAATCTTGTGTAGTATTTTATCCAAAGAAACAAAACTATACGGAGCTGTATTTTCATGAAGAGCATTTTGTTCAACCTTCTTTTTGAGAGAATGAAACATGACGCATAGCGTATCAGCATATGCCTTCCTCTTTATTACAAATGTTTTCCTCTGTTTTTGGATGATGATTTGTATGCATGTCTGTTGTTGGTTTTGAGCTATATTTTCTTTTAAACACCTTGTTAAACAGGTAAATTCAGCGGAGCTGAATTGCAAGGACAGCATGTTGCGTTGAGGGAATGCATTGAGCAGCTGACAACACTTGAAGCTTCAAGGGCAAGTCTTGTATCGCATTTGAAAGATGCTCTTCAAGAGCAGGTAAATTATTTACAGAGTGTGCTTTAACTGTGATTTTCTATTGCTGCATTTTTATTTTTAAGTTTATAATTGAAGAAACTACCTTGTAACTTAGTGTGATTGTAATTAAATTATAAATGACCCAAATTCTAAGTGGCTGTTTAGCTAAGGCAAAATGGCTATTTTATTTTTTACAGTGGCTAGAAGAAAAACTCTTAAACATGTATTTTGTAAGGCGGTTTCTTTGTGTAAGTGGTTTCTCAAAGAAAATAACATATTCAACAGACTTTTTTTTTCCTTCTAATTTTATTCTCAATCTGCGCTGTGGTGGTTGGAGGGGGTTGTGTTTGTGGCTGTCAGTTTTGTAGATATTTTTACACCCTGCAACCGCACTGAGTGATGTTTTGACTTGTTTGCAGGAAATAAAACTGGATCAAGTGCGTAGTCAGCTCCAAGTAAGTTAAACTTCATCATATCCAATGTTCACTGATGTAAGATGGTAAATTATGGTTCTAGCCAAATTCAATATCTTAATACTGCCATTTATTTTCTCTTACCACGTAATGATTGTCACTAGTCTTACTCGTACTACTCACATGTTAAAAAGATAATTTTAAGATTACGCATTGTGTTCTTACTCACCTCTTGACTGCATATTATTTTGTGCTGTTTCTTTGTCCCTGCAATTAGTGGCTATGTAGATGATTTTGCAAAAATTTAGGATGCTTACACGTACCAGAAATGTAGTACATTTTGAAACTACCTATTGGAATTAATTTCATTATTCATTCAGTTTAGTTGAGGATATCATAATGTCTTTCTTCCTGTGCTGACTATTCCGCACTTCTGGCATCTCTAGGCTGCTCAATTGCAATCGGATCAAGCCGTTATTGTTAGTCGACAGTTTGTGAGCTCTGACAGCAACATGACAATGGAGGAACAGGGTATGAAAGATGTTCATGCTTCCTCTGCACCACCTGGTTTTACTTCTGGGGACAGGCAACCAAATCCTGTTGTATACACCAGACAAGTCCCTTTACCTGACAAGTCTGTTACGTCTGCTGAGGACGACTCTCGTAAATCTGCAGCTGCCGCAGTGGCAGCTAAGCTTACTGCTTCTACTGCTTCAGCTGAGATGCTTAGTCACGTCCTTACTTCTTTGGTGTCAGGTGTTGCTTTTGGCAACTCCACAGATTCCTCTAGTGATCCCCAACATTCTGATAAGAGACCCAAACTTGAGAATGAGGCAACTTCTTATACACCAGCACCCCCGCTGCTGCCACCCCCTCAAAATCAGCAACCACCGCCACCGTTGCCACCCTTCCCCCATCCTGAATCCCTGCAACATAATCCACAATCAACAGCTGGTGAGAAGCCGCCCCCACCATCCTCTTCCCCTCCGCCTCTTCCCCCTTTGCCACCGATGCCATTATATCCAATGCAGCCTCAGTTTATTCAGACTGCTGGATCAATGTCTAATGTGGCTTACAGCTACGGGGCAACCCCGCAGCCACCCCCTATGTCTGGATACCCTTCTGTTGGGGCCGCGGTCACAGGTATGTCTCCTTATGCAGCTCCTCAGGGTAACCCGTATCAGCCTTATCCAGGATCTGAAAGCGGGTTCTATAGTCCTTCGTCATCTGTGCCTATGGCCCCAATTTCACGTCAACAGACTTTGTAGTTTCATAAATTGAGCTGGTTGAATGTAGGGTGGTGGAAGATTTGAATAGCTTTGTTCCTTTGTAGAAACCTTTTGTGCGATTTGTATCATTTGAGGTTATACACTGCATAGTTAGAATTTGCACATAGCAGCGCCCTAAACTATTTGTAACTTGTAGGCTTTTACAAATTAAAATTACTGATTTGGAGAGTTTCACATTATGCTTTGGTTGTATGTTGTTCTCATTTGGTTATTTTACCATCATTGATATGATATTTAGTGAGGTTAACTAACAGTCATTTCTTGTTGAAACAAAGGATTTACGGCCCGTTTGATTGCTGGTCTTAAACGATTAGAAATCTACAAGTAATTTTTTGCAAGGAAAATTGTCATTGTCCATCTTTAAAAATCTCTTTTTTCTACCAAGAACACAACAATAAAACATTTTGTGTTTTCCTGTGCATTGACGTGTTGGCCAATTAGCTAGACGGGTGTTTAAAAAAACATAACCTTGTGCTAAATGGGTTAAAAAAAATCTGGGAAATTGGTGGGTATAAAAAAAAATACTCATGACGTTTAGGGCCTGTTCTTTTCAGCTTATTTTCAGTTTAGTTCCAATCAGTTCAATTCAGTTTCTAATTTCCTTCTCTAAAATATTCATTTTAGCTCAGTAAATCAGAATAGGTCCTTAGACCTAGATTTGACATTTGGATCGGAGTTCAACCATATACTAATATTCATTAATCAGGCGGAGCCACCCTTATTACAATGCCAAAATGCCATACATGATGCATCAGGTTCATAACTTGATTGTTCAGAGTTAGTGGTATGGAGCACATTTATGTTGTTCTTTTAGGTAAAGGCTACACATACAATTGTTGTATGTGGTTTCTACATACAACTCTCATTTGTCATGTTTCTATTGGCTAAAATAATAGGCACAAGTTTCATTAAATTCAATGTATATTTGATTCTTAACTTTCTCCCATTTTCTGTTGATGTGTCAAATTTTTAATGATGTTGTATGTAGGGACAACATACAATAGTTGTATGTGTATCAGCTCTCTGTTCTTTTATGTACTCTATGGAGTAACATTCAACAAATTTAATCAATTTCATTAAATAAATTTGTGATATTTTTGGAAGTTGAACCAAATTACCTTTAGACCAATGTTTTTGCAAAAGACGGTGATATTGCATGCTTAAAAGAAACACATTATACATATAATATGACAGTATGACATTGTACATTTGTACTACTATAAAATAGATTATACGATAGTATTTTTATTTTTTAAAAAAACAAACAATAAAAAAAAGTGAGGAAGTAGCAAAGTAGCAACTGGGGTTGTCTGGTGCTTTATCCTTTTTGGAGCCAAACCACACGACATACACTATGATTACTTTAGTGGCAGTAACTGGATGGTCAAATGTTCTGAATTCCAATGATTTTGGGATTTTACATTTTTGATTTTGTATAATTAGATTGATTAATAATAATTAATAAACATTGCATTATATTAAGCCTTGACCATGAACTGGTTGGAGATCTATACTATGACAATTGACAAGTCAGCCAAAGGGTTAAAACCTTCATCAAAGACAATTACCATGAGATCTTTGTCGCTATGATTCCCTTTTTTCGGAGTTGCCCCATGCTACAACTTGTATCTTTGCACTTAGACCACTCTCAATGGTGAGCAAAAAAAATGCTCACCCACTCTCTCTCTACCCACTTTCTCTCTCAAGAAATAAGTTTTGCTCATGGGCAAATTTTTTCACATATTCTCTCCCAATGGTGAGCAAAAAAATTGCCCACCCACCACTCTCTCTCTCTTACTTTTTCAATACCCCACCATTACTTTCTCTCTCCTACACAACACTTCTTTATTTATTTATTTCATTTATATTTTAACAATGTTACTCCAAATAAATAAAAACTAGTTAAAATTTGTGTAACTTATTTTTTTTATTTTTGTCCTTTTTATCGTTAAAATTTGTCGTAAAATTAAGTACGTTATATAAAAAAAAAATTTAAAAAAGCTCAAAATTTCTTAAATGTTTTTATTTATTTTAAAAGCGGTACAATACTAGAAACCAATTACATTTGCAACGTCATGCGTAATTAAACTTAGAAATAAAATAAACACAACAAGTAAAAGTAGCTACGCCATAGTACTTGGCTTTATTTAAGTCGTGCTAATTTCTCCCTAATTACGTGGCCCGTAGTGTTGCCAAATATGTTCGACTAAATCACGTTTCAGAGATAGATGAATTTCTCTGTCACGGAGGGAAGCTTTTCGCTGTAGAAATGCGTTGAAATCAAAGTTGGTAGGTCGGCCTACGTTGAATTCAAACGGTGGCGTTGTAGATGTTGATTCTTGTTGATCTTCTTCGTAGAAGGCTCTTAGAACTTCGGCTCGAGTGTAGTTGTGGCGCTCATCTTCAACAATCATGTTGTGCATAATGATACATGTTTTCATTATGTCCCGCAGTATGTCCTCATCGTACGCCAGCGACGGTTTTCGTATTATTGCAAATCGAGCTTGCAACACACCGAAAGCTCTTTCAACGTCCTTTCGAGCGGCAGCCTGGTGGTCAGCGAACATTTTATCTTTGGCCAGTTGAGGGAATGTGATACCCTGAACAAAAGTTGCCCACTTCGGATAAATGCCGTCGGCTAAATAATAAGCCATGTTGTATTCATGGCCGTTAACCGTAAAATTTACCGGAGGAGCTCGACCATGCAGAACCTCATCGAACACTGGTGAACGGTACAACACATTAAGATCATTACAAGATCCGGGAATACCAAAGAAGGAATGCCATATCCATAAATCCTGATCCGCAACGGCTTCCAGTATTAGCGTTGCTTTCTTGTTCCTACCGGCGTACTGCGCTTTCCAAGCCGTTGGACAGTTCTTCCATTCCCAATGCATGCAATCAATGCTGCCTATCATGCCTGGAAAACCACGCAGTTCATTTTGATGCAGTATCCGGGCCAATTCATCAGTTGTAGGGTTTCGCATGTACTCGGTTCCGAACTGGTCAATGACCCCGGCACAAAAACGTTGTAGGGCAACTCGAGCGGTTGACTGACTGATTCGAACGTATTCATCAACAGCGTCTGCAGCCATGCCATAGGCTAACATTCGTATCGCGGCTGTACATTTTTGCAGAGGTGATATGCCTAACTTTCCAGTTGCATCCCTACGCTGCTGGAAGTAAACATCACTCCCTCCCTCCGGAAGTCTACCTGCTTCATCATAGCAAGATATCCACTGTAGTGTGTCTGCTGCCAACCTTCTCCAGTGCGACGTCAGACTCTTCATAGGTCTTGGTGGAAGTATATGCGGCTTCTCCGCATGAGCAAGTTGATATGCTGCGTGTACATCGCGCCAAAGGGAAGTTGCTTTCTGGCTCGTGCCTTTAATAGCATTCTCACTGATCTCCAAGTACAACCCAATCAGAGTTTCATCTTCCGCAACTGACCAAATTCGAGTCGCTCGTGCAACAACCTGGTTGGATTTCAGTTCGGGAACTGGTGGAGGATATTGCGGCGTCTCTGGTACGCTGTCCTCTTCGCTCTCATTGAATTGTGTGTTGCTATCATGTACAGTTTCAGGTGTACATTCTTCAATAACATGGTTTCGTAGGGGAAACTGAGTGGGTGTCTGATACTGTGGAGATGGTTGCAAAGACGTATTGCCCATTCTTTGCAAGAACAATTGAAACTCGGGATTAGTTAGCAAATCATCACTAAAACCAGAAAATTGTTGGCGGAAATTTGGGTTGTTTGGATCCATTAAAAGATTCTGCATCACAAAACAAAAGATAAATATTTGTACTAAAATTTACTAATTTTTTACAAAAGATAATTTTTTTTTTTCACATAATCACATATATACTAATTTTAATACATAACTAAATTTATATATTAAAAAAAAAAATTAACCAATAATTGGAAGACTTTATTAACTACGAATTTAGTAATGTTTGAATTTAGTAATGTATGGAGAAAACACACATATACTAATTTTAATACATAACTAAATTTATATATTAGAAAAAAAAAAGTAACCAATAAATGCAACACTTTTGCAACTACAAATTTAGTAATGTATGGAGAAAATATCAACAACTTTCTTCAATTACATAATGCAATTAAACAACATGGTTTTATATTTTTTTTTTTTCAAAAAAACACACATATAATAATTTTAATACATAACTAAATTTATATATTAGAAAAAAAAGCAAATATATCAAATAAATGCAACACTTTTTTTACTACAAATTTAGTAATGTATGGAGAAAATATCAACAAATTTCTTCAATTGGGTTTTTCAATTAAGTAAACATGGCATATAATATTTTTTTTTTCAAAAAAACACACATATACTAATTTTAATACATAACTTAATATTACAAAAAAAAAAAAAGTAACCAATAAATGCAACACTTTTTTTACTACAAATTTAGTAATGTATGGAGAACATATCAACAACTTTCTTCAATTACATAATGCAATTAAACAACATATATTTTTTTTTCAATTACATAATGCAATTACATAATATTTTTTTTTTCAAAAAATCACATATATATTAATTTTATTACATAACTTTATTTAAATAATAAAAAAAAAAAAATTTACCTCAATATGGGTGTGTTGCAACAAAAATGCTCTTCAACAAATTTAAAATGCTTAAGAAAATAAAAAAGTGGAGGATTTTAAGTGATTTCGAAAATATATCAAAATATATCAAAATGCATGTCTATTTATAGAGAATTTAATTTTATGACCGTTGGTAATTTTTTTTTTTTTTTACTGAAAATATTTTTCAGAAAATGCAATGGGAAGATTATAACCGTTGTAAAACGGCTAATTTTGTCATTGGCCAACACCCTGAACATGCCACGTGTCGCGCTCCTACTCGCTGGCAGCCTGGCATGAACAGTACCCGTATTTTTTTTTTCCAGCTTTCCTCCAGCTTGTGGGCCCCACCGAGATCACTGTTCATCAGAAGAAATGCCCATGCTATGGACATTTTCATTTTTGCCCATGGCCTTTTTCTTGCATTTTTGGTTTAGCTCACCATTGTGGGTGATGAGCAAAATATTTGCTCACAAGAAATGCCCATGAGCATATATTTTGCTCATGGTTGTGAGTGCTCTTATATCGTCATTGGAGCACATGACTTTTCGAGTACCTATATTATAAATATACAAGTTAGATTGTGAGTACCTATATTATACATATGTAAAAATATACTAGGTGAAACCCCGTGCAATGCAC